TTGGAGTACGCAGCTTATTCAATTTGCCATATTATCATTACATAGCCGTCGTTAACAAGAATAAACTCAATTTATCTCTTTAATCATAAGTCGATTTTACAAGTTCCGTACGGTTCTGATGTTTTCGACAAGAAAGAAAACTCTTCGTGTTTTGCTTTTTGTATAAACTTTCTCGTAATTTATGTTAAAATATGATTTGAATTTCTTGATCATAACTTCTCTGAGTAGTATACGAGTTTCCCAATAATTATGTAATTTCAGCTAAACACATACTCCATCAATAACATGACAAAGAATAGAAAGTCGATCCGCATTGCTGAAGAAATATATATATTCTCTCCAAAATGAAGGGATCAGTCAAATGTGACGTGGTAAAATGCCAAGAGAAATATTCTTGGGTATTCTCTCACCACCATGGATACCATGAAACTGCTGATTTTCCTGAAACATATACCACTGGAGCCAAAATTTCCTATTCATATAAGTCTTCAATAATGTTTGCTATAATATTTCCACGTTAGTTCGTTGCCGCTGTTTCCTACAGTAGATTTCATCGAGGCTAGCTATTATATCAATGATTTTTAATTCCTGTATCGGACATTTTCATTATGGATTGATTCCTCGAATCATCAGCTTTCGAGAAAAAGAATGAGGACGAGTTCTTAAGCGATAAATTATGATATTTAGTAGCCGCATATTCACTATATCAGAAGATCTGACGCTGTTATTAGACGCAGAATAACTCTTTCAGAAAGTGGTCTGCGAATCTGAAAGATAAGCGCTACTTGTATGATATTGATATCAAATTCCTTTTATTATTTACAAAGAAAATCTTAAAATAAATAATTTATTTTTCCACTAGATATTTAGTTCTTTGTAAGAGTCATTTATACGATATTTATTAAAATTATTATGCATGAAAAGAATATAAAATTGCTCAAAAAAACTATTACAATTGATAGATTTTTAAGAACTTTATTAATATGAACAACAAATTATCAAATTGACTAAATGAGACAGAAAGTTGTTTTCTTTTTTATGAAACATTCAATAGGATTTTTCTATGTAATGTGTTTAAATGAGTTTAGAAGATTAACTTTTGCTGGTATCTAATTATTTATTTAAATATTCACATAATAACTTTTACTTAGGAAAATTTCAAATGATACTCTGTATATTTTATGCAATTTTATTCTTCAAGAAAAATCAACTATTTTTTTATCATTTCTAATTCTTAAAAAAAAAATAAAAGTCTATTACTCATTGAAGAATAAAATTAAAAAAAAAGATAAAACTAACAATATGTGATTCATCATGAATCACATACATGAATGCGTGGCACATACTGAATCATATTTACGTTTTTATAGATAAAGAATTGAATATATAAGTCTTCTGTTGACAAACACATTTAATATAGAGGATAGAACATTTATTTTCTATAGTATAAGGTTTGAATCGTTTGATCTCAACAGATTCACCAAAATATCTTTTAGTCTTGTCTATAGTCGCACTTTCTATATAACCTATGTACCATTATGTCTTGATGTTATAATGAAGGTAAGTAGACATATATTAATTACTAATGAAAAATCAATCTTTACATATTAATTAATACAATCCATGTTAAAACATCCTATGAAATAATATTGATAGTGATTGTATGAAATATGGTAATATGGTTGTTTTGTTTTGTACATGACGTTTCTCATTTTGCGATATCTTTACATTGCCATTTTTATTCGTTCTTCTATATGCTGACTCATACGAGTCTATTTTTATAAAGAAAAGAAAACAGAACACAGTAAGAGTCAACATATGTAGTTATTGCACAAAGAATAGAAATATTGTCTATTTGTCATTTAACTGAAGAATTTATTGTGAAATATTTCGAAGATTACTTTGCTGTAAGAATAATTTACTTTATTTTCTTTTACTTCTGTATTATCAAAAATTGAATTTCTTCTTATTGTTTTACACGTAAAACGTGTCTTCTATGATGATTAATTGAGGTATTCGCAATGCTAAATTATAATAAAATTTTTTTTGCTATAGGTGGATAGACTGCTGCATCAAGTTTTACAAGAATATATATGTCCTGTATTCCAAAAGCATTAGTAGTGCGAGAAGAACATGAAAAAGTTAGTTCGAAAAAAAATTTAAAAATCTCTTTTCTGCCATATCTGTGAAGGAAGGGCGAAATTGCTAGGGTATTTGTCACGATAGAAACGGAGCGGAGGAAGGGTGCGTCTCGTGTTTTAGAAAATATAGTTTCGTTCTTGAGATATTTGCTTTTAAATAGCAGCAGTAAAATCGTCTAAAAATAAGTTCATATTCATGGATTTTGACCATCAAAAAATTTTATTTCTAACCAAAAGATACATACTATTCGGAATTAGTACAAAAACCTTCATTAAATTGTTTTATTATCATGAAAAATAATTTCCTACCAAAACTCGATCCGAAAGACCACAGGTAGAACTATATCGAAAGAACATTGAAGGGAAGTGTAGAGATCAAATTTTGATAGAAATTTCTTTTCATAATAGTTAAACAATTCGATGATGTTTTTGTCTTGAGATTTTGGATAGTATGTATGTTTTAGTTAGGAATAACTGTTAGTATCTAAACAAGTGAATTTCTCAACAACGGAGTCATATTTTTTTAAAAAGTCTACTCAACTTTTTCCTGATACTAAAATAAGTGAAAAATATCGAAACGAACGAAACTTGAAACTTTTTGATGCAATTGGCCTTTTATAAGGATTTTCAAATTTTTTTACTTACTTTCATTACGTTTTTCTTCTAATACTAGTGCTTGAAAATTGGTGACATACACATTCTTGTAGAATTTGATGAGTTCTCACCAACTACAACACAAAGAATCGCTGTAATTTTGCATTGTGGACACTTTAACTTATGCATTGAAAATTCAATAGAATCATTTTAGTATGAATAGAAAATCTCTTTGAATATGAGACTTGATCAATGTATTTTCATTGCTATCATTTTTATTTTTATCTATTATCATCAGAGATTAAAATTGAAATAAAATCTATTCAAGATAAAAATAATATTTATTGAGCTGTATGTAACGCAAAACTATCTAATTTTTAGGTTCGAATATCGTTTATTTAATTTTATTAGAAGTTAATACGTTAAAAAGGCTACTCTCTTATTTTATTTTCTCATTTATAGAAAGAAAAGATAAATTTTTAACTAAACAAATATCTGAATGTCTCGACGTGAATTATACAGTTATCGTTGGGATGGTACAAAATGGGCTATCGTAACTAAATCATTTCATTCCGAATTAGAATCCAGATCATCAGTTAATATTGCTACAAATGTAGAAAATATAGTGCCAAAAGTTAATGAACCAATTCGAATAGCTACATTCAATATACTTGCAGATTGTTTTCCATGGTTTATTGAAATGGCTATTCGAAGTGCTGAAAGATTGGAATGGCTTTGTAATGGTATCATTAATCTCAATCCCACTATAATTGGTTTAAATGAAGTTACTATTAATGCACTACAACGGTTACAAGAATGTTCATTTATTCGTGAAAATTATTTTATAATAGAGACATTTGATGAAAATCATAATGATAATACTTCTGAAATGAAAAATTCTCCGAATACTAATCCTCTTTTTCCTCATGGATGCATCATTTTAAGTAAATTACCATTGATTGAAGTATTTGCCATATCTGTATCAGGTAGAAAACGTGAAGCTATTGTTGGAAAAGTTCAACTTGGTAGTACTATAGAAACTTCTGTATATATTTGTGTTCATCATGCAACTCCATACAAAAAAGCAAATAATGCTCAATTACGAGCACAACAAATACGTGATATTATTGATATATTAGAACCACTTAATCATCCATTTATTATTATGGGTGATCTTAATCTTTATTATGAATTTGAAGATGCAATTGTTATTGATAATAAATTGATTGATGCATGGGCACAAACACATTTTTCTAGTAAGTATCCATTTAATGATAAAAATCTTGGTTATACATTTGATGCATTGAAAAATACTCTAATTCCTTATTATATACCTGGAGCACGTGGACAAATGCGACTCGATCGAATTCTTTTTTCTTATGGATTTCCAGCATTTGCCATAACACCATGTACTATGTGGGCCAATGAACCTATTAAATCTGACAATTATCTCTTTCCAAGTGATCATTTTGGACTATTTATTGATATTGTTCTTGAAAAAACAGATAATAATAAACAATCGGAAATAACAACGATGTCATTGAGTAAACCAGATCCATCGGCTGAAGAGATTTTACGTCGTAATGCAGAGAATATTAATGATCAAGGACCATATCGTCTTGGATTAATACGAAAAACAACAGCATTAACATCTCATGTTATTTGGCTTGGAGCTAAAGCTCTTGGTCTTAAATGAAAAAAACAACACAAAATGTTTGAAATGAACTGAATTCATTATTTTGAATTTTTTTAATAATTAATACATCAAATTCAATTTTCTATTTGTTTATTTATTAAGATATTTGCCTAGATTTGAATTATGTTCAATGAAAGTTTATATTCAGTTTATACTTTAAAATTTTCATTTATCGAAAATTCGAACTAATTTTTGTACTATGAATATCAATAGATCTTCATTTTATATGAATTATATTTTCAACATTTATCTTTCTATTAACATTTAATTTCGAAACAATTTATCAACACTTTAAATATTATTTTGTCAGAATGTCTCAGAAATCTAATATGATAATAAGGTCGAGTTCATGCTGCATCAAATATATTTGAGAATCAAATATGAATTTCTTTCACATGATCGAAACGTATATGTAAACTTGAGTTTGTACAATGATCTACAAGCAAAGAAACACTTTTTCTGAATAAGCAAAAATGGAAAATTAGATTCGAAATTGTCACAGATTTATAATATTGAAAAAAAAATTAAAAAAAATAAATGAAAATTCTATTTTATTTAAATTTTTTCATTCATAACAGTCGAATATAAGTCATAATAAAAAATACAAGAGCCATAATAGATATAAAAAGTAAATTTTTCCATATATCCCAATTTGTATTATGTGGAATATTACGTTCTGTTAATACTTTTTCACCTGTCATTGGACATATATGAGTATTATTAGATAAACAAAATTTTAAATTTCTAAATTCATTAATAGTTAATATATTTGAACAATAACGAATACTACTAATATATTTAGTTCATTTAAGACAAGTAAACATATTTTCTAAATCAACAAGAAAGTCACTAAGAGCCATCATCATTATAAAACAAAGTATAACTGCAGTAAGAACTACAGCTAAAAATTAGAAATATTTAATAATATATGATAAAGAAACAAAAAACATTCTCTGTTTTTTTAACCCTTTCGTTACTGAAATTTTCTTTCGTTCTGCACCAACTCGAAAAAAATCTCGATTTCGCTCTCTCTTGCGTTCTTCTCTCGATAATCAGCTGAACACGAGTTATATATTCATTCGTTCAGTGCGAAAAAAAAATTTTCGAAAAGAAGAATACACTCGTTCATGTGCACACACAGATGATTTGTATCATGTAGGAAGATATCAGAACGCAAAATTTTTTCTTTCCGTTCTCCATGTCATCTACGAGATGACATGCCGTAACGAAAGGGTTAAATACCAAATACAGGAATACAAGCTGAAATAAAGAAACATACAGCCGAACCAAATATTGAATTGATAAATATAGTGAGAAAGAAAATAAGAAATCGATTAATTGAACGTTGAAAATCAGTTAAACGATAAGCAAATATAGCAAAGATAAATGAAGCTATAACACGCATTGGAAATAAATCACAAAGAATTTTTGCTAGAAAAATTCTTGATGTTCGATAATAACCACTAGCATTTTCCTAATATACATAGTTGTATACAAGATTGTATATATATTTATATAGAAGTAACGCGACTCAAACGTCGCTGACTCTCTACTGAACGAAGTAAAGTTCGGCAGCGATATTCGTTTCGATTTTACACTTTCAAGGTTCCCTATTGATTTGTACCTGCAATAGAATACATCAGTCAAGAAATATTCTGTTAGCTTATGTGTTTTTAACAATTTTTGTAACAGCTAAACTATCATAGAATAAAGACATAGAAAAACGTTTGCTTGTTTATGTGTAATATGAAATATGCAGAAGTTATTATTTAAAGAGTACTTGAAAGTTTATTCTGATCGGTCAACACTCATCATTCTATTCTTTCACACTATCTTTCCTTTAATCCACGCTTCTTTGTCCCTGTCGCTATTCTGCTAGAATTGAAACTAGTTTCCAAAGGTGATGATTAATATTCACAAGACTAGATGCTTCATGGATTTTTAACAGGGTGTGGGTGTGGGTGTGTGGATGTGGGTGAAGTGAGAACTGACACCCACACCCACACCCTTCAATACTCCTCTCAATGACTACTTACAATCTGAAATTACTTAAGTGCCTGCTGAAATACATCGATTACAAAAGTTCTGAGAACTTTTTCTCCATACCTTACTCACTATTCTAGTTCACAGTCGTGTTCTGCAATTGCACAACGAGTTATATAGAATTATCCTCCAAGCCACTGCACTTAATTCGGCTCTGTCTGCCTTCATTGTTGATACGGAAACCTATGTGGCCACATTGAAGGTGCAAAACATCCATCGAACTCAAGTGACAATCGTGTTCTACGATTTCATATATCTCCAGTACATTCGCTTTCAAAAAAATGAGTATTTTTTATTTACTGTTCTTAGCCGCAGCTTTGAGCGTGCCTAGCGCATGAATCGCAGGCACTATTCGATCGTACTCATGAACTATATAGTGAACAATGTTTATATATATATATATCATGAAACACTATCTTGAAACAACTAAATAGAAACATTGTTGACAATAATTCAGTCTTTTTTTGAAATAGATGACAAGCTGCAAAGAAGCGCAATTCTGACTTTGACGCGCTCAGTCTATGTTTATCTCTTCTATATTCAGTCCTTCGTTGTTTAATTGCCTAATGGGACGAGTTAGCTGTTCTTCCTGTTTATCATCGGCAATGTCTTTATTCCATTCATACACAGGAATACAATTCGGAGCAGTTGGACATGAATGACAGGTTCCACCATATTCAGGAGGCAATTGATCAGAATCAATATGTTATAATAATACTGTTGATGTTTCAGGACCCTTTTTAATGACATGGATTTTTGTTTTCGTTACAGGATCAAGCCAATATTTCGCTAAATCCCAAAGAATAGAAAAAAATCATTGGTGGATTTATAAGAAATATGTGTCCTAGACGTTCGGGATAATAGTTGTCGTCAATGTGAACGGCTTGTTTAAATACATAAAGAAATTTTGTCAACTCTACTTTACAGGCATGTAAATCATAAATCGTAGCAAAATTTTCGACATGTTTTCCTAGTTGTCGACTACGTTCTCTTGCTCGCTGACAACAGCATTCAAGCCAATAGATATGACATTGGATTAATTCCTCTGATGTAAATCGATTCAATAACTTATCCACTTGTACTAGACCGAATTTTTCGATAAACAATGGTCGACCAGCTTTTGTATAGCCATGATGAGCGCTCGGAGCCATTTTTCGAATGATATCCATTCGAAGCATCATGAGTTGATCTTCAAGAATCAAATCAACATGATTGTCTATTCGCCATTGTATCATTTCTCGGATAGATTTTATGATATGAGTTACATTCCATTTTCTAGCACGAAGAAATCAATGCAACTCATAACACCATTCATTCTCCTCTTCTTCCGTATTCATCTTATTCTTCAGCTGTAAATTAAGTTTATATTGAAGATAAGATGTATGATTCGGTTTTAATTCATTGTAAACAGTGTAAAATTTGTTTTGATGTTCTGCATCTAATGCATTAATATCAAATAATGGACTAGTGGTAGTCATCGTTTTATACAATAATCTTAAGATTTCTTAAATTAACACTCATTAAGATAGATAAGCTTTACAAAATAAAACTACTGCGGCAATGACTGGTCGGCACGCATAGATGCTACACTTGCTCATGCCACTATCATATGAAGTCATATATTCAAAAAATTGTTTGTGAAACTTGCAAACATCAGAGACCAATATGAGCCATTTTTCAGAGGCCCAACTCAATTCCTCTCTCGCCATATTTTATCTGACCCACTCGGAATTATACTAGAGAGGTTATCAACAGGCACACAGTTTTTTAATTAGTCAAATATGATAGCTGATTATAATTAGACTGAGTAGAGTATCGGTCATCACCTCCTGACTTATGGTTCTAGAGACTGCAGAATAAATGAGGTCATAGGAATTCATACCGATTCTTAAAATTCTTCGAGAGAAGGAGTAGCATTGATGAAAATCTTTCTCCCTAAGTTTGTTTAACCCTTTGAAGATCGTGTGGCATATGTTGTCCTACTTATTTTTCGGTAAAGAAAATGTTTGCTTTATATTAAACTGTTATTATTTGTAAAGTAATAAGTCGCCTTATCTGTCATCAGATGCATATTTTTTCTATCTTTCTTTCTGCTACCATACACTGATGTCATGTTCTCTCTCTCTCTCTTTTCTTGATCTATTATCATGAAGTTTTTATGCAACCATTTTGGGCCAAATGCAGTAAATTGATTGACAAGCATTCGGTCCTCAAAGGATTAATTTTAGATAGTTTGCCGCTTTCCAGCGACCATAGGTTCACCGCCAACGCATGTAAGTATGAGGCGAAACCTGTTGTCCAGTCTCAAAAATCACATCTTTTCAATGTTAAAAATCTATGCAATTCAGTGTTCTGCCGTCGAACTCCCGCGCATACTACTCATCAAAAGGAAAT